AAACGAAAAGGAAGGTTTTCGATTTAAAATTCTCAAGTACAGAAGTAAAATAAATAAATAAATTGAATAAAAATAAAATTAAAAATTAAATTAAAAATTCCGATTTTATAAAAAGTATTTTTAACTTATGTATTTTCAATGATTTTCTAGTTTGAAAAAAAAACAAAAACAAAAAAACAAACAAACAAAAAAACACAACACGGCAAAAAAACACAACACGGCAAAAAAACACAACACGGCAAAAAAACAAACAAAAATAAAATAAAAAATACTAAGCTCGTTCAGACCTCAAATAAAATTTCCATCATTGTAGAACCATACAAAATAAATAGAAAACAAATAGAAAATAGAAAATAGAAAGAAAATTATATATATATATATATATATATATATATATATATAAAGGGAAAAGGTTATAGCTGTTCCAGCGAGAGAAAAGTGTATATATTAAAAAGAAGGGGAAACCGCAAACGTTTTTTTTAGTTGTAATGTGAATTTAAAAAAATATATATCATGCTTTATTTGGAAAATAAACATAATATATGTTTTGTTTTAAAAAATCCACATTACAACCAAAAACGTTTGCAATCTCTTTAATATATATATATATATATATATATATATATATATATATATATATATATATATATATATGTGTGTGTGTGTGTGTGTATGTGTGTGTTTGTGTGTGTGTGTGTATTGAGGTAGTATATTTTCATTCAAGCATGTTTGTATCAAGTTTAGCATAATATATAATTAATTTTTTACTTTGATCAGTGGGGATATATTAAATTTAACTAGTCATCCATAACAACTCTTCTCCGTCAACTAGCGTCTTACAAAAGGCCAACATCATATATCAATTTAAGTGTCTCTGTTAAAAATCTTAATACGTATGTTGGTTTTACAACAACGACGATGAAAGGAAGGCTTACGTTGCACTTAAACAATTATAGTTCAATTGCAGAACATTTAAAGAAACATTCACAATTTAGACAGATATTAGTCGAAAATACATCAGTACTTCATCAAAACAATAATAAGCAAAAACTTATTCTGGAATTATTTTATATAAGAGAATTGCAGTCAGAAATAAAGTAAACTACGAGTATAGCAACAAAGTTCTTAAATATTTGTAGCAGCAAAGTGCTATATAAAAAATACTAAATTAAAATATTACAATTAAAAAATCATTGAAAAAAGTAACATGTTACCTCCGTTGCATAAAGGTAAAAAAATATTTTGAATTTACCGTGTTAACATGTAACACATCTATAAGATGGTCTCAGATGAGATTGAAAGTACTTGAGAAAATAAAAAATTATTTGGAATAAAATTTTGGATTTTTTTCTTAATCAGTTTTCTACAGCCAAGAAATTAATTCGTGGACTTGAAAGGATTAAAACTAAAGTAAATAGACATAATAAATTATTTAGCCAAACATGCTTTAGAATATATATATATATATATATATATATATATATATATATATGTGTGTGTGTGTGTGTGATTAATGTAAGTAAAGGTTTGTCATTGATTTATGTTACTTTCAGCCTTCCAACTCCAGAGTTTCGTAGACAGACCTGTCCGTCCACCCTCTTCACGTTCAAACTGTTGTCCTCATCTTTATTGGCATACTCACGACGTTTTGACCGTTGTAATCTCTGGTGTTCTTCAGGTGATATACGTTGGTATTTCAAACCGAACCCTTTAGTGTGTGTCCACAGTGAAGGATTGTTCTAATTCCACGTCCCATGTCTTTTTTGAATATCTGTTTCTCTCATCTCAGAAATAATATATATATATATATATATATATTATGATATCACACCAAAAATATGTAAGAACTGCTACACAACTGAAGTCATGTTTCAATGCTTAACAATGCGTCTCCTCAGGCGATTGTAAATTAATGGCGAGAGAGCGATTAATTTGTTTTCAAAAGCAAAATACATTCTCTTTCTTAAAAAAAGCCAAACGAATATGAGCTATGTTAAATTCAAATTAAGCAAAAAAGAAAAAATAGAAATTATTATCTTAGAAATGTGTCATGACCAGAAGATGGAATCTAACAGCAGCCAGACATTAACTTAAAGACTGTTACAGATGGTTACATAAAATGTACACATGCCAGACAAACCGGGGTTGGGTAGAGAAGAAATTTAACCGAATGTCAAACTAGTTATATGCTTTGTAAATTTCCTACATAATATTTTTGTAGTTGATAGATAAGAGGCTTCTTTAAGAAACTAGCAAATAAACTAAACATATAGAATTATCTGGTAAATATCATTCGACTGTTAAATAAATATCATCCATATAAGATGTTAATATACCATCCAATCGATGTAAAATGTGAAAAATATTGACTAAATACCAATCTGTATAATGTGTTAATAATACTATCAGGAGATCAATATAGAACTATATTAAATCCAAATTAATCATACAAATAGAAAGAGAAGCCATATATGGTGCAACACAGTTCACCTAAAATCTAAGAAAAAACATTGTCACATTCCAAAGTTAGCTGAATTGCAAGGTAAAAAAGTAGACTGTGTTTACAATTTACCATTAATTCGGTTCGTTGATTTAATAAGGAATCTTTATCAAAAAACCTGATAATTTCCAATTTTTCATGTAAACACAGAAAACAGGTTTCATATAAGGATCTACATGTCCTTGCCATTTTAAAAATATCCCATTTCACCTTAGGAGTTTTATAATCATCTTTTAAACTCCAAACATATTTAGAAAGCGATGTATTGGTGAAGGACAAGATATGTTGACACCACCTACTCTGAAAAGAATTCTTAGTACTACCAATATAGAATTTTTCAACCGTCGGATTCTATATTGTAGAGATAATACTTAGTTAAACATTTGTTTGGCAATGGGCATTGGGCAGAATTCCTCCAATTACATTGGCTAGTATCATTAATAATATTTATCTTGGAACGTGCATTATGCTCCAGATTATTAAAGTGATTTTAAATTTTATTATTGTGTAATTTTATAATCCCAAGATTATTAGTGCAGCTATAACTTAGTTTTAATGTGTTTCTGTTAAATATTTTACTAAGAAGGTTACTCTTAGGGAAATGTCTATCAATGAAATGGAGGAATTTCTGGTCTAACTTTGTAGTGACCAATTAGTTAAATGGGTGTCCGTACCAAATGATCTTTCTATTTCTATTTCATTTCTTTGGACCGCTATCCTCATATTTTCCATACTTGATTGCGACGTACTTTTAAATACTATCCTTTAAAACAGTATTATAAACACCGCTATATTTATCAAACACATCTTTGCATGAGGAGTGGTTGCTAATCCTACATTCTCTAAACGAAGGTATATATATATATATATATATATATATATATATATATATATATATATATATAGTAAAAAGTAACAAATCCGTTGGTATATAATCCAAGTGAATCCTATTAATATAAAATTATAAAATATTAAAACTGATCCACAAAAAGAGCTCAATGTATTTATTAACACAGAGCAATTAATCAACAATACAATCCCAAATTACCTCATGTGGGGAATAGTCTATTTCGACAGACGAAGATAACTGCCGTCTGTCTTATCAATACCGGTGTGGACTGAGTTCGTGTCTAGACAGTTAGGGCGGGGGTCGGAAATAGTATTAACTGTGAAAGCGAAAAATTTCAGTCAGTCGAAAGACACGAAACAGGGGTCAGAGGAGGGTGGAATACATTTGTCTTAAAGGGAAAGGGAAGAAGTTTTATAAAATTAAAGCCGAATATTAACCTTATGACATTAATTTGGGGTTATATGAAGAATGAAATATTAATTTAAAATTAAAAGAGGAATAAAAAGGGGTTTTAAAATGAACTTAAAATATATAGATAAAAGAATACAAGGGATTAATGGAAAGACAGTTGGGGAGATATTAAAATAGGGGAAAGCTTATAACTTATTAATATCGTGTAAAGAGGTTATAGAGAAGGAAGAATATAAAAATATAGATAAAATACAAAAATTAGAATTAGTTATACTTTCGATATTTTAATAAAGGCTAGTTAATATTATTGAAATATAGCAGCTAAATAAGTTAAATCTATATTATGGAAATTTGAACTTGATTTTATGTCGACATAAAAACAGATTCAAATTATCACTGGGGGTTGATAAGACAAACGGCCGATATCTTCGTCTGCCGAAATAGACTATTCCTCATATGAGGTAATTTAGGATTTTATTACACACACACACACAAGCACACACACACACATATATATATATATAAAAATAGAAACATAAAAAAAGACATTTTTATGTTTATACATTCTTTTTATAGATACAAATATTTAAGTAAATGCTCTGTTTATAATAAACAGTATTAAACAACATTTACCGGCCTAAATGTCCGAGAAATTTTCACAGAAAATATTCGTCCTCCGACAGAATTCGAACCTGTATCCTATTCGGAACCGTCATTTACCTTGACATTATATAAAAAGAAAGTATAAACATAAAAAATGTCTTTAAATAATTGTCGGACTTTGTCCATTTCATAATGTGTGACATCATTTATTTATATTTGATATCCCATGAGCAGATATGAATGTACGTGAGAGATTCATGGAAGATTGAAGTTTAAATACAGTAAATTCGACCTTGCTAACCGAACGGTCCTCTGTGGCCAAATCGGTAAATGCACGTCAAGCTAACTGACGGTTCCATATAGGATACAGGTTCGAATCCTGTCGGCGAATGAATATTTTCTATGAAAATTTCTCGGACATTCATGCCAGTAAATGTTGTTTAATACTGTTTATTATAAACAGAGCATTACTTAAATATTTGTATCTGTAAAAAGAATGTATAAACATAAAAATATCTTAAAATAATTGTCGGACTTTGTCCATTTCATGTATGACGTTATATATATATATATGTGTGTGTATGTGTGTGTACATATATATGTATATAGATAGATAGACAGATAATTTGAACAGACTGAGACAGATAGATAGATACTTAGATAGATATGAACACACCAATGTTAATAGATAGATATGGGCACAGTGAGATAGATAGATAGATAGATAGATAGATGGACACTATAATCAATAAATAGATGGATATAGACTCACTGATATCAATAAATAGATGTGGACCGACTGTGATCAGTAGATAGTTACGTATACAGAGATCGACACACTGATATATAGATAGATACTTTGAATAGACTGAGAAAGACAGACAGTTGTTTGATAGGTCGATAGATAATTTGAACACACATAGAGATAGACGGACAGTTAGAGAGATACATAGATAAATAATTTGAACAGACTGAGATAGTCAGACAGACACTCAGACAGCTAGCTAGCTAGCTAGCTAGATAGATAAATAGATAGATATGAACAAACTGAGACAATGACGATACATTTAGTGTAAATAATCGTGGAACTGTTATTATGTTAAACATAATTATAGGTCAGGAGTCACTTGCCTTCCACATTCCATGCGTCAGGTTTTCTATATACGACTTAAAATGCACAGATAGATAGATAGATAGATAGATAGATAGATAGGATAATTTGTATATTGTCTTAAAAAGATAAATCGACTGAAAGTGGGAGAGATTTATATATATATATATATATATATATATAGATAGGTAGGTAGAAAGATAGATAGAATAATTAGTATAAAGTCTCAAAAATATACACAGGTGTAGTCTTAAAAATAGCTAGTTAGTTATATAGAGAGATAAATAAATAGAAACGGACACACCGTGGTCGATCGATCGATAGATAGATAGATATATAGACAGATAGACAGACAGACAGATTTTGATAAACTGAGATAAATAAATATATAGGTACATGCTCACTGATATCAATTGATAAATATACACTCACTGAGATCAACAGATAGATAGAAAGAAAGAAAGAAAGAAAGAAAGAAAGAAAGAAAGAAAGAAATGTACGCAACGAGATCGATCGCTAAGTAGATTAATAGATATGAACACATTGACAGCGATCGATAGGTAATGGAGACACTGAGATTAATAGATATATATGTGAGCACACTGAGATCAATAAATAGATAGATTTATCTGAACAGACTGAGATAGATAGATAGATAGATAGATAGATAGATGATTTGAAAAGACAGCCAGATAGATAGATAGATAAGCTGAACAGACTGAGACAGACAGACAGACAGACAGATAGATAGATAGATAGATAGATAGATAGATAGATATGAACAGACTGAGACAAACAGATCTGAACAGACTGACATAGATAGATGACAAGCAGAGAGACATTGATAGAGATCGTCATCTGATCATCTCCCTCTCACATTCCATATCTTTTTCCGAAAGAGCATTTACTATAAGCTCCCGTAGATTTGGGCATATTAATCCCACTTTCATAAGAGCAAAAGCGAAGTCCTTCCTAAGTTTAGTCGTATTTCAAAAACTTAGACCAAACGCTATGGAAATATTTTTAACCTGGGCAATAATTTAATAACGGTGACATGCGCGTGGGCAACAATTCTGAATGATGTCCGCTCTAAATTCAATGGCCATCACATAATGATGCCAAAAGAAAGACAATTTTCTAAAAGATAATTCAATCAGCATATTTTTAGCGGTACATGAAATTGTGCGCTTCGTAAAAGTTCATTGCTACTGGATAGCTCAGGATTGGATAATGAATAGCGAGGTATTTTGCTTTTAGACTTGCTACTGTGTTTGATGTTTACTGAGTGCTCACTAATCGTGACCTTGTGCAAACTAAGCTATCACGTTTATCGCTAGTGGGGAGAATTTACCTTTCATGGTAATTGTTCTGATGAGCTTTCCTCTCTGGTACGTAAACATTATGAACTGAAGCACAGTACTAGATTGGCAACAATGTCTCAGCATTTTACAGTTGAATTGGCTAGATGTAACCGTAAGTTCTATGCTAATAGTTTCTTCTCTCGCACTTCTAGCTTGTGGAACTCTCTTCAGGTCTCTTACTTTCCAGTTAACTTTGATCTTCAAAAATTTAAATGCAATTTTAATCGTTATTTGTCTTCTTAATTGCTGTTGTTTTATTATCCTCTCTCTTTAAGATTGATTTTTTCTTCGATTCTTTCATACTCAGTCACCCCTTGCGTCTTAGTGGCTTTATAGCCTTGACTGTGGTGAAATCTGAATATTTCTAGGAACTGTTTTTTGAGAATTTGACACCTAAATCCGAACGCGTGCTGCAATAGCAAAAGAATCCACTTTAAAAGCTAAGCAAAGTAATAAAAATCAGGAAAAATTAGTTAGACATAAAGCAAAGACTGTTAAACTGCTATGTAATGACCATCCTCCAATATGGCAGCGAATGATGGACCATTTCTTCACAGATGAAGAGAGCTACAGAAATGTAGTTCTACAAGGCGAAACGTGTAAGCATTGAAGAAAACATAAGGGCACTAACACCCAGAATCATAAAAAGTCAGCCGAAATTTCGGGGACGTACGGTGAGGAAGGAGGGCTTGGAGAATTTAAAACTCACTAGGCATATCGAAGAGCTTGTGTGAATGAACGCCAAAACGGGAGTGGGTAGGAATTAAGATTAAGCAAACATTACTATGAGCTCAAAAGGATAGGAAGTTGTGGAGAACCACGATCGCCCAGGTTCTGAAGAAGAATTCAAACTGAGACGTTTAAATAACTACCAGTCATTGAACTTAAGTTTAAGTTGTTTATCTATTACGCCACCGACGATGGTATGTTTGACACAAGGTCACATCTCGGGCGGTGATAGAAATTGTCCAGCCGCTTGATACTCTTTTGGGACGCTTCAGGCATTGACCCTGGCCATTCCTCTTCAAGTGCAATGGAGAAGGTACATCCTGATAGATATGGCGCGAAGTAAAAAACGTGTTTTTTTTTTGTTTTTTTTTGTAGATGAGGAACCCATTTCTGGAAATATCAGTGTGTGCTTTGCTGTACAGAAGCTGGTTCTCTGCTGTGTATTTCATACGCTGCACATTTGAAACATTTCGATGTCACAAGAATGTATTAACCGCTTGATACAGAAGAGTCTAAGTCTAATTATGACAGCAAAAAAGAAAAGAAAAAGACAAAGAAAAAACGAAGCAAAAAGGTTAAAAGAAAACAAAAATCTAAAATAAAGGAAACAAAAAACAAAACAAAAGAAAAAAACGAAAGAAAAGGAAACAAAAAAGATAACAGAAAAGAAAAACAAAAGAAAAGTAAAGAAAAATTTGAAAAAAAAAGAAAAAACAAAGAAAATAAAACAAAAGAAAAAACAAAATAAACAAGGAAAATACAAACTAAGAGAATAAAAAAGAAAAAAACGAAAGAGGAAAAAAGACGGAAGAAAAATAAAAAAACAAAAAACAAAAGAGAAATGAAAAGCAAAAGACAAAAGGAAACAACAAAAACAAAACAAAAGGAAACAAAAAGACAAAAGGAAACAAAAAACAAAAGGAAACAAAAAGACAAAAGGAAAGAAACAAAAAAAAAAAAGACAAAAGGAAACAAAAAGACAAAATGAAACAAAAAACAAAAACAAAAGGAAACAAAAAGACAAAAGGAAACAAAAACAAAAGGAAACGAAAAGACAAAAGGAAACAAAAAACCCCAAAAAACAAAAGGAAACAAAAAGACAAGGAAAAAAACAAAAAACAAAATGAAACAAAAAGACAAAAGGAAACAAAAAGACAAAAGAAAATGAAAAAAAGACAAAATGAGGGAAAAAATCAGAAAGAAATAAAAAAGACAAAAGAAAACAAAAAAGACAAAAGGAAACATAAAAAGCCAAAAGGAAACAAAACGACAAAAGAAAATAAAAAAAGACAAAATGAAGGAAAAAATCAGAAAGAAACAAAAAAGACAAAAGGAAACAAAAAAGACAAAAGGAAACAAAAAAGACAAAAGGAAACAAAAAAGACAAAAGGAAACAAAAAAGACAAAAGGAAACAAAAAAACAGAGCAAAAAGAAACAAAAAAGACAAAAGAAAATAAAAAAGACAAAAGTAAACAAGACCAAAGGAAAAAAAATAGAACAAACATAGATAAAGCAAACAAAAGAAAAAAAAGAGAAAAACAAAGGAAACAAAAAAAAAAACAACAAAACAAAACAAAGGAAAAACCAAAGAAAATAGAACCAAAGAAAATAAAACAAACAAAAAGAACAAAAAAGAAAAAAAAAGCAGAAGATGGAAAAAGGACGGAAGAAAAAATAAAAAACAAAAGGAAACAAAAAAGACAAAAGGAAACAAGAAAAGGCCATAGAAAAGACAAACAAACAAACATAGGTTAACCAAACAAGAGAAAAAAAAAAAAAAAAAAAAAAGAAAGAAAAAAAAGAAAAATAAGAGAGAAAAGAAACGAAGCGAACAGAAATATAGAAATCAAAAGAAAAAAAAAAGTCATTTCACGTGTTTATAAATGATATCACTTGGAATAACAAAAAAAATCAAGATTATCATCCTTTTGAAGGTACGCCATTACATAGATTAAAATACATTGTTTTTGCTTGCAATTCGTTATATCATTTTGTCAGAAGTGATATGAGGTCGGAACAAAATTGCCGTTTATGCGTTACCGCAATGTCATCTTCGTTTGTCATTATAATGTGTCCTTATCTATACAGTGTACACCACATAACTGAAAGAGAAAAAAAAACAAAACAAAGAACGATGCTCATTTTGAGGTCTAATTAACCGTAGCAAATTTGATAAGGATAAATAATGCATATAGATTTGCCTTTCTCCACTGTAAATATTACATTTTCTTTTTCTGTCGCTCGACACTGTCTGTTTTCGATGCAACAAACCGAATGAAATAAAAGTAAATAATGATTTTCAATGTTTTTGTTTTCAGGAAACGAAATAATGATTTTGCGAGATTTATCACGCATCATCATCTCGTCGTGTGGAGATCGCAGGAATTCTTTATTCAGCCATCAATAATCTTAGCTGAAGCAACAAAAACGATTTCCTTGATGATCCCACCCTCAACAGAGAAGCTACAAAAAAGCCTCATGCATTACATTTCCATTGTTGCATATTACAATAACCACGAGACGCATTTTTTTTACTCACATGCAACAAGCAACTAGCAGTTTTGTTTTTATTTCTGATAATACTGAAGCATGAGCCGTTTGATGTGTGGGACAGAGTTATTAGCTTAAGGAATGAAGTCAGGAAACTGTGTTCGAATCCGGTTAAAATTGGTTAAAACGGAATATTTGTGAGATTAGTTGCTACTTATGAGGAAACATTTGATATTCATTTACTAAACAGCGTTACCGCCGGTTGAAATTTATAAAATTTTTCAAGAAAATGAGTTTCTCAGATTCACTAACTGTTATTGCTTTTTCCAGTACTAATGGGAGTTTCCATAACAAGTGGAGAACGTCGCCATCTTGATTATGTCATTATTTTCTCTTCGAGTTACTTAGGCAATTCGTTTTAGTTGTTGCCGCTGTTGAAAGTCCTCAAGTGGTGTAGTTTCTGTTATTTGTTACAGTTCTTTGTGATTATGTAGCGCCAGGTTCGTAGACGGGTGGAACTCGAAAGGCGTTCATTCATTCGAAGCCATTTTCAACAATTGATCTGAGAAATTGTGAGTTTGGGGTCAAATGTAGATTAAATATGGATTGGAATCCGCCAGAAGGACAAGACAAAGAATAAACAAAGTGTATACAGTCTTTCTCCTATGTTTTTTTTTTTTTTTTTTTTTTACAGATGTGTGTAATGGGTGTCCAGATAATTTAATTGGGGTTTTCTTAACTCAAATTTTTGTTGAGTATTAAGAGATAAATTTTTCTATTATGGCCTGAAAAAGGAAAAGGATATGAAATTTTCATTGATGCACGTGTTAGCGACCTGTCCGTGTGAACTGCTTGTCCGAGAGTGAGAATGTCATGTGTTTGTATGTAAAGGGGAAAAGTGGGGTAGATTCTCATTGGTTTAGAATGATAATTATAATTGGTTTAATGATAATTTTAATTGTTAGAATTATTTTATAATTCTTTTTGACACTATAATTAATTTTGATTTATTTTTTATGAACACGATAAAATGATAGTATAATTATTTTTTTTATTCATGTATCCACTATCCATTTTAGTTGTTTCTGTTGTTGAAAGTCCTCAAACGATGTGGTATCTGTTATTTGGTACAGTTCTTTGTTTGTGATTATTTAGAGCCAGTCTAAGAGGTTCCAAGAAGAATGGTCCTCGTTATATCCATAGGCTTCATTCGGCTGAAAAAATGTTAACCATTGATCTAAAAAAGCCATTGTTACAGCTGTCAGTTTAGATATTCC